TTTAAAATGTTGTATAAGAATGTATTTGACAACAAGTTTTACCTGCAAAAGTGTGTGTGGAGTTTTCCACGGTCATTTGCAGTACTGTATTTAGATGCACAGTAACTGTTTTTATTTTATTCATTGAAAAAGCTACAGTAACATCCTGTTATTGCTATGTTCCTTCACCACAGTGATTGCACCTTAGCTGACAGCTGTACTTCAGCTAGAAAAGGTGCTTTATGATGCGTGGCTGGCATTCTTAAACACAATTGATTGTGATTGCTGCCAGCTGCGTGTGCTGGCACTGCCAATTCATTGGCATTTTGTTTGCCCATTTTTATTTCTCTTCAGATGATTAGCTTTCTGGTGAAAACCTCATAGTGGAAGTTTTTCACATAACATTTTGAAATGAGGGTTATATAGTAATCATTTAGTTTTTTTCACACTAAGCTTAATCCCAGGTTATTGATATTTTAAATACTGAGTAATTCCATGTAAAGGTGTGTTTCCATGGGCAGCTGTGGCCTAACGGTCAAAGAGTTGGAATAGTGCTCTCTTCCACCAATAATACCCACAACTGAGGTGACATAAGCCTCAGTTTCTTCCCTGCTTCCATAACAAAATGTTGCATACTGCTGTATATGTTCACTCACTTCATGCACATGCGTGTGCATTAAAATGGAAGGATAAATGCAGAGTTCAAATTCTGAGTAAGGGTTATTGGGTAGATTATTTAACTTTTTACTGTTTATGAGCAAGAACAATGCTGAATTGGAGCATATGGTGTAAAATGTCTTAAATGCAAAATTAATTGTTTCCTAAGTTTAAAGAATATAAGCAATTGATAAAAAATAAAAATGAAAAATTATAATAAATAATAAAAACAAATTTGTACAAAAAATTCCACGCTATTAATAGAAACAATAATTTTTAGTTTTTAACTAATTAACACTGACCATTTTATTTACAACTTTTAAAAAATATTTTATAAAATGTCATTTGAATTGAATTGGGTAATTTGCAATAATTAAAACAATAAAAACAGCAAAAAGAAAAAAAAAGAAATTCATCCTAAGATAATGATTAACATGGTAAAAACAGTGTGAAATGTGAATCAAGGTGTTTAGATAATCTAGTGTTAACAATTTTAAATGTGAAAAGCATATCTGTTTTCAAATGAATATAATGCTTGCATATATCATGCTTCGTGACGTATCAAGGACCAGACAAACAGCTCGTTGCATCCGTTGCACAACTTTAAAAGTTGGCGCTGGTGGAGTCGACGCCAATGGTTTTAGAAAACGAAGTTCATCTTTATCGACAGAATCCTCAAATATTACGGTCCAAGTCGCTTTGTTGCTGCATTTCGCATTTTGTAAGTTTGGGGCTTCATAATTGTGCTCGCTTTCACGACAAAATGTGATCACCTGAAATAGAAAAATTTTTAATCATTACCCTTATTTTATTTTCATTTAATTTATTATGCTGAACATAAGCACTGCAAATGATTAAAGAACATCTTGCATGTGTTAAAATTATGAAAATTTGTATTTACAGAATCCAGGCTTGGCAAAGACATCATGGAGCTGTCTGTGCTTTGAAATTTGTTGGGGAAAAACTGCACCGATCAGTCGGTAGTAAAGTTCGTGAATCATTGTGGCACAGTTGAAAAGGTTCAGTGCTAACATCTCGAAGCAGACCTTTAATGCTTTTGCTACACCTAAAGCAAAAAGCAGTCACAGTAATATTTTGTACAGAGACAAGAGATCTTTCGTAACATCCTTTTTTTGTGTGTGTCAACATTCCTGACCTTGTGACTTCAATCTTGCCACTGGCAGAGCGGTAGAATGGAGTTTTTTCACTATATTCATCATATACGCCCCATCTCAGATGAGCCCATTCATGCACCAAGACCTTTCCTGCAAACAATTAATTTTCCTCACTAATAATAAAAGCATAATACAGGTTAAACAGTTGAAGGATGATGATTAATGTTTACCTCTGGACCCATAAAGCTTGATGAGTTTGTCATCTCGGAGGAAGTTTGGTGTAAAATGAAAATACTGACCCTCGGCTCCACATTCACCATACTGGTTAGTGTACGGTTCATCACCATATGCTGGATGAGGACTATCGATTCTTATTTTGGCCTGCAATTAACAGAATTATCTGATGTAAATAAAATGAATGAAAATTCAGATTTGACACATAAAGTAAAATGACTTAACATCGACCTTTTCAAATGTCTCTGTTCTTGCTCTGGAAAAATCCTTAGTACTCCAGTGAGGTGGCACTAGTATTGTAGCTTCTTTGAAATAGACCTTTTTATCCAATGCTAGATACAGATGAAACAATCCTTCAGTAAACATGTTCTGTAAAAATCAAAATAAAAAGATATAATCTTTCTAAATAACAATTTACACATGTATAACTACAACTTGATAACTAGAACTACAGTAGCATTTTAATGCAACTCTGCTAACTACCTGATATGCAGGCAATAATAATTTAAAATATTTATACTTGTCTCATTTTTTGACCATTTGATACTGAAAAATAAAATGAAATATAATTAATAAATAATAATACATTTAAATTGATCACCAACATTAACTCAGGAGCACAATATATAATTTTATCTCTCAGTTCCTGCTCAATGTCTAGTTGTTATCTGTACTTGGTCTCTAGTGCACTAAAAGCAGAGAAGCCAGTCTCACAAAGATAGGGTGCTGCAAAAGGAAGAAGAATGCTAATTTGCCCTAAGAGTAGATACTGCCTCTTTACACTCAGCCAGAATTCACTCAGTGGCTGTGATGTGAATCTCACACTCAACATGGAGTCAGACATCAATAGCCGTGTTTCCACTATCGCGCCTAAAGCGAGCGAGCCAGGGCAAGCCAAGGCCAGTGGTGTTCCACTGTCACTTCTGGGGCCTAATCGGGCCAAATCGGGGCTTTCTTGGGGCCAGTGGCTGGCCTTTTACAGCCCGCCGAATACCTTGGGCCAAAGAGCGAGCGAGCCAGCTGGGGCTTCGGGGCGGAGTGAGAGGCGGGCACAGTTTTTCGATCGCACATGAATATATGCGCCAAGCAAATATATAAATAAATAAATAAATAAATAAATAAGGGAAAGAAAACATCTAGCCTTATGGGGTCTTTTTGCGTATGATCACCTTTATTTTTCCCTTTTAAATGTAAGAGTGTTGCATAAAATAATAAAGTAGTTTTAATTTATAGTGATATTGCTGCGTCCTCCTTGATGTTTCAATAACGCATAATAATCTTTACACCATATTAAAAACACAGTTTAAAAGGTGTATTTGTGCACGTTTAAATGCCTGTATGTGTGTGTGAGACCGAGAAAAAGAGCGCTCTCTTTACAGCTGTGTTGATGCTGTGCGGCATTTTAAAAAAATATATATATTTTTAAATATTATACACAATATTAATACAACAGAAACACATAAAACTTAACAAATTACGTGCCCACTTTCGTAGACTTTAAACAATATAGTGTCATATCTTGATAAAATATCCTAAGCTGTATTGAAATATAATTTAAAGAATTACATACAATGGACATAATAAAATCACATTAAATAAATAAACCAATATAAAATAAACAAAAGCTAGCTATAACATTGTATGTAGCCTATATACAATACATAAGTCAAACCGTTTGTTTTAAAGCCATATAACTTTCATTTTACAAAGGCTTATCTATAAAAAAATATTTTAGATATTTTCTAAACAACAATAAACACCGGAGAAGGTTTGAAATATTATTTATAAAGTATTTGAATACGATGATATCAATCAAATCGTGCGAACAGAGCAATTTTTGGGTTAGAGAAAGCAGAATCTAGCCTACTTTTTTTCCCTGTCACCCAGTCCTGCGCATCGCTGCTTTAAACGCATCGGGGAAAACTGCAAATACAAAATGTGTTCTATACCTTTAAACAAGTGTTTATGTTTTATATGACGTGGTCTAATTTATAAATCAAACTTTAATAGTAGAGTTTTAGTGAATAGCTGCTGAGCGCAACAAATATGTCTATATTTTTTTAGGCTACTTGCTCTTATGTGCTGAAACACTTAACACGACGTCTATCAAAACAAGGATGTTATAAAATACATGTCATACCGAGTTATAACAGAGAATTTCTGTGGCTTTATATTATAGATATGTGCGCTAACTGTGCTGGGTCCCTCCGTTAGTGGCAAGAGCACTCGATGTACAATGCCAACAGTTGCTCGGAGGGTAAACAAATGTAATGAATGACAATACACAGGTCTGTGCTTATAGACATACAATGTACTGCTGTACAGTAACGGGTCATTTGTTCGTTTCGTGATGATTCCATGGTGTGTTTTATCTGCCTGATTCCTGCTGAAGTGGGCGGGTTGTGTGATGTTTGATTCGGGGGATGTTCTGGGGGCGGTGTTTGTGTGACGCGCTGCGAGCTACTAGCCCGACAGTGGAAACGCGGCATGATTTTGGCCTTTCCCTTGGTCTTTGTCCAGTGAGGAGGGCGGGTCTTTTAAGCAGAGTCTGTCGAGTCTTGACAGAGAGTAATGGCATCAGAGTTTAAACGCAAGCAAGTGCAAAAGTACCGCAATGAGTGGAAAGAATCATATACCTTGTTGGAGAGCGTTCTCTGGCTTAAGCGGTGCTGTCATGCGACAACATACCTCCGGAGAGCAGCATTCCCGCAATGACAGAGCTCACAAAAATCAAAGCAGTCAGGCAGTTGTTCTCTACCCCAAGTCTCTTCAGAAGCAAACATGGTAATGACCCAGTCTTTGAAAATCTAGCTGGAGTCATGTTTTTTTCTTTTTTTGTATTTTACTGTTTTCTACATTTTCCCAGAGATGGGTTGTGGCTGGAAGGGCATCCACTGTGGTGACCCCAGATTAATAAAGGGACTAAGCCGAAAAGAAAATGAATAAATTAATGTTTTCTACATGAAATAAAGAACTGTCTGAAAATAATAATTATAATAATAATATATGTATTTAATATTAACTGAGTAAAACCATGTCAACAACTGAAATCACAGTGAAATGAATGACTACAATCAAACTTTATCTCAACATTAGATTTGGCCTGGTTTTCACACACTGGGTCACATTTCAATGTAATATTATGATTTGTTTGTTAAAGATAATTCAGGCACATAAGCATTAATTTATCACATGAAACATTACATTTAATGCATTAATAAACAACATAATGCCCATGTAAAGAAAATAAACTAGTACATTGCAACTTTCCATATTTTTAAATTAGAAATGTGCTATTTGAAAACTTTACTTGCGAATGTTTGTAGCTAGTTTATTTAGGCCTATGTGCTGTTTTCATGTTTGAATAGTTGTTACTGCAAATAATGACAAACTTTTTTGCCAAAATCTGTTAACACTTCCACCCTTTAAAATTAGGTTCATTAGTATTTTCTTCTCTCCTCTAGGTTACAGCAGCTTACAGAGTTAACTTAGGTGTACCACACTATTCAACATAACATCAGCTACATCAGTGCTGCAGAGTTATAAAAGAAAGAGACTGACTGCATCTGTTTCACAGATTTCAATAAAAGACAATTTAACTTATTTTTATGTCCAAGTGTTCATACTTTCCTGAAACCATATTTTAAGTTGCGATTTACCACCACCGACATGCTATTGGGGCGGTGATTGTGGATGTGGCCCCTGCTGCAGTATGCATCCTTTTTTTTTGTATTAAAAGTGGTAACCTTAGTTGGCATTTCTGTGTCGAGTTTGCATGTTCTGCCTGTGTTCGCGTGGGTTTTCTCCTGGTACTCCAGTTTCCCCCCACAATCCAAAGACATGCGGTATAAGTAAATTGGGTTAGCTAAATTGTCCAAAGTGTATATGAATGTTTGTGAATAAGAGTGTATGGGTGTTTCCCAGTGATTTGTTGCAGCTGGAAGGGCATCCATTGCATAAAACATATGCTAGATAAGTTAGCGGTTTATTTCATTCTGCTGTGGCGACCCCTGATTATATATATATATATATAATGCATATATATAACTTTTTTTTTCATTACAGTATTTTATTTTATGAAATTTTAAGTTAATCTTATAATTTTCAACTGTTAAGGCAATAGAAGCACATAACTGTTTAGAAAGAGAAAGAAAGAAAGAAAGAAAGAAAGAAAGTAATCTGAACTAGGACAACCTTAAAACACAATGAAATGCACAGTGCAAAATCCAAAATACAGGAAAAAAAAAACCTGTATAAATCAAACAAATATTCATATAGACCTATTCTTTTATTATTTTAGTGCATATTTACCTTGATTTTATCAATAAGCATGTAGTCCTCTGGAACGTTCGAACTGATTGCAATGACAATGTCAACGTAACCATTTCCATCTAGTTTGATTCCAGTAGATGTGTAAGACAGCAGCATCCATAATAAAACAAACACTGTTCTTGAGTCCATGACTGCTAAATCTCCTAACTCCCAAACCCTGTTTTAAACAAAGTCACAAATGATATTGAGTGGTAGTTGAAGTAAAAAATAAAATAAATAAAAAAAGCGTATTTTATATTTAATACCTAATTTTTTGCAATGTCCCCAAGCAGTGCTGGGCTCTAGAAGGATGATCGTGCAGTCAAAATGCTATATCACACACTCTTGTTTAAGAAAGGAAGTCCACATTATTTATATATTGGAAGCAATGCAACAATGTCTCTTTGCCCAATCAGATTACTCATTACATTGCTATATATGGAAAAATCAAATCACCCAAAGCCTTACCCTACATGGCAATGGGACATGTTGTTTAATCTGGCACAATTTGTGTTTGCCAAAACTCCAGTAGGGTGTGGCTGCAGACTTGCTCTCTCAGGCCGAATTAACACCGCATGTTCAAGTGACCCAATTTCGTTTTTTTCACTCATGTGGAAGCACTAAGCAGGTAGATTGATTCAGGTGATTCAAAGTGAGTCGTACGACATTAAAAAATGTTAGTGAGAAATGTTAAATTAGAGAGAAAGACAGAATCTGGAATGTAAACAATGTAAAACAATTGCATACACCATGTGTACAAACTATTTTGGTCAAATTGTGCAGAAAACACATGGTCATGGACTTGGTTTAAAATGCTTACTTGTCAAAAAATGAAAGATTTATATAGGATGCCCCAATGCTTTGCAGTTACTTATACTATTTAACACAATAACTTTCCTGTTTCAATTCAATAATTTCATTAATTTCATTAATTTCATTCAAGTGAAACTTCTATAACGTTTACATTCATTCCACACAGACTGATGTTTTATAAGTATCTATTTCTTTTAATTTTGATGAATTAGATGTCAATTAATAAAAACTCCAAATTCAGTATCTCAGAAAATTAGAATACTACTTAAAACTAATAAAAAGAAAGGATTTTTTAAAATCTTGGCCAACTGAAAAGTATACTTAGTTAGCCATCCTTTTGCCTCAAGCCATTACTTTGTAACCACTAAAAAGGGCGGGGGCATGTGGTTGATGTTGGATTTGCGACCGCTAGGTGAAGTTCAATATTAAACTAATTTCGAGAGAAGCGCGCTCATGATTGACCCAGCTGGCCCACATTAGCTAATCAGGATGCTCCAATCAAAGGATACCAAGTCACTATATATACAGTATATATATATATCTTCATTTACTTTCTACAACTATCTTCCTCTGGAGGATTGCCCTGTATCTGACAGCTCAACTGCTACCACAATACTCAGCAACCAAACTTCTTTAAAATCAACTGTTCATCTACCCATAATCAAACAGCGACTCCAACTCTAATCTGCTGTACCTTCATCTTCATCCTCACAATTCATCAACCATCAATTCCAACTACGCTATCAAAAGAAATGGACAACAACAAAACCACCTTCAACACCCAGGCTGATAATCCTCTAAACTGTCCCAGTCTCCCTGATTCTCCAACAGCAGCCCCACAATGCTCAGCTCCACTAAGCTCTCAACTCAAGCTCGAGGCTGCCGGGAGAGGCCGACGCATCACCCATTCTTTCCCCCACAGACTCCCACTCCACAGATCACCAACTCCTTCAACCAAGAGACATAACAATTCAACTACCTCATCTAATGTTTCTGCCATATCCTCCGTCCATCCGTTGAAGAGAATCACCAGCATTGAACTCCGAAAACTCCTCTTCAACCTTGAAATCCACACTGTCAGATCCCTAAATAAACTGGAACTCATTAAACTGTATAGCAAAGCAACATCAAACTCTCATCATTCCTCAAGCCCTCCAGCTAGACCAGCTACCCAAAGAACTAGCTCCCATTTTACTCCATGCCCTCAAATTCTTCAGCCGCTACAAGAAAAAAAAAAAAAAAAAAACTAAACAAAAACACACTTCAAGCCACGCCCCCGCAAGATCACATTCCCAAGAAATCCAGCTGCATCATTCGACGTCACCCAACCCCATGCTTCACTCAGGACAATCCTTCTACTAACGCATTCACTGTACCTCTCTCCACCCCATTTTCCTGGCCTCCAGTCCCCCCATAGCTCCACTAACTGCCTGCATTTCCCTTCTACTTTCAACTCTAACTCACCCTTCCACTTTCACTTCTCTCAGCCCTCCAAACAATCAAAACTTGCCTTTCATTTCTCAAACCTCTGCCCTGGGCCCTGTGCATTCTAATCTGCCATTTACTTCTCAAACTCTGCCTAATAACCACTTTTCTTTTTCTCTCCCCACAGCTTATTCCAGCAACAACCCAGCTCAGCATCCTGCACTCCCGTCACAAGTTTCTTCAGCTTGCCCCCCATTTACCCTTTCCACCACCACACCCCTGTCTCCGCCGCATAATGTGCTCGTCATGGAACCTCCGCCCATCCCTAACGCCGCACGCAACTACATTCTGTCAGAAATTCTGATCATTGGCTCCAGAAACCGACCCCAACCCAATGCCTGCCCCTCTCTTTTCAGAAATGATTTTGCCCTAAGCACCCCCTTTATAACCTCCACCAAACCTCCTCATCTCCTAACCTCCAAGCCGTAGCCCCCAGAACCCTTCAGTCATACATCACAGCATGGAACACATTCAAACACTTTTACAACATTCATCATTTATTTTTCCACAAATTTTTCCTACTCTCCATCTCCATTTTATTTCCCACCTACACACTGCCAAACATATCCAAGCTAGCTCTATTAAAAGCTACCTCAGAGGAATTCAATTTTTTCACAAATTAATCTATAGGTCCCCATACAATGCCATTTGCAATTCACAAACTTCTCTCCTTATCAAAAGCATTCAAAAAACTCACCAACCACCCCAGATTCTAGACAACCCATCACTCTCAACATCTTTTTCTCATGCATTTGCACCTTATGCAAAGGTTGCATCTCTAAAAAGCACACAGTACCATCAAATTTTAACCCTTCACTCCACCCCACCATAGCACATCTAACTTTGCAGCATGAGGAACCCCTTTCTTTTCTCATCAAACAAAGTAAGACAGATCAAATCCACAAAGGACATTTCATTAACATCTTCAACATCCCCACCCTTACCAACCCCTTTCAAACCCTCCTAGCATATCTACGAAACACCAAAACACATTTTTTGAGCTGTTGACAGTCGTATATGTGTCCCACACTGCTAAAAACACTATTAGGACACCTGTATTTCACTAAAAAGTGTAAATTGGTAGTTTTTGCGTTATTTCAAGCAAATTCATACTTCCTGTTTGAAACAAATTTTTGAAGCTGCGTCATGACATAATAGCGTGTATTCCAGCGTGCAGACTGGGCGTCTGGGCCAGAGTGAGTCTTATTACGTCTTACAGTGTGATGCATTAATGCATGAGTAAGGCTTGGTTCAAACCAATCAGCGCGCTCTATTGTGAAACTTCATTAATATTCATTAGTGTCACCGTGTTTACACCACAGAGACGCCACGTTGTGTTGGCAAAACAAGCGTGAAGTGTTGCTTTTATAGTTTGCTGCCATTAAGTTTCGTTTTCATTTTCTTTTTGTGAGAGCTCATCTGGATCACGTGTGGATTAACAGTGTATGTGACGCTCGACAACAATAACTTACGTGTCTAAGGGGGATTATTGTTTACCTGAGAGCTGTTCTCATCTGCAAACGCTGAAATCCGGATTCGCTTGTAGTATTCTCTCCATAAAGACTTGGCTCTAGTTGCTGGGGATTGTCTTGTCTCTACAGATTTGGTAAGTGAGCGACCAGTGCTCTTTGTTTATTCAGTTTGTTCGTATCGAATTAAGTTAACTATTGCACTGAGTGCAAACATGTTAGCACCGCATTTTGTGACAGGAATAACACATTTCTGAAGCTACCTGCCTTGTGCATCTAAGTTTCCGGGAAATGCAGAGTTTTTTTTTTTCTCTCATTCGCTGTGCGGTATCAAACATTGCATGAAAAATACACGCTTAGAGCAGTTCCTCGAATCAAAGATCTCGTTTGTCGCGAGGGGCATGAATGAATTCCCTGAATGAAAGAGCCAAACTGCAGTTAAAGTCCAACATTTAATAATTTGGCAAATAATTCGACTACAGATGTCCATGTAGGTTAAACACCATCACTTTCTCCTGTGTGTATTTTGACTGAAACTCGCGCGTGCCCAAATAGACACTCCCACACCCTCCCACTTTAGTTCCTCCGACACTCCCCCCTAAACAGAGCTGGACACGCCCACTTTTCTGAATTTTTACAAAGTAGAGGTGTGAAAACACCCTGCTGAAATGAGGGGGTTTCATGGCCCTTTAAGAAGATCACAAGAAACAAACTCCCTAGCCCCCCTTTTTTACTGACAATGCTAATCGTCCAGTATCGCCTTTTTTGTTTCCAGAAACTGTCAAAGCCCTCTATTTGTTTATCTCAAGCAACCCCCTCTATGGCTCAGACTCCCGCAAGAGTCAATCTGAGCTTCGGCTCGTGCGAGAGCCTCACCTATCGCCCTCACTTTTATGTTCCCCCTGCCAACGGTGAGTTTCCTCCGCCTTCTTTTTCTTTTAGCTCTTTACTCTTTGTCTTTCTCTCTCATTTTACCACCTTTACCACTCCCCTTTTCTTTCTCCTTGCCAGCATTGTGTGCTTTTACTGCATTAGTATCTTTTTTTTTTGCAAAGTTTCTGTATTCTGTAAAGTAATTGTATAGAATATTTGTGTTATTTATAGATGCTCTCCCCCTTTTTCCTGTCAGCGTCGAGTGCTTTCACCGCTTTAGTTCATTTATTCTGCAAAGTAGTTCACAAGTATATTTTATGTCTTATATTGTACCGTTCTATATTCAGTAATAATTTTATAGTATATCTGTGTTACTTCCAGCTCCAGCTTCAGCCCCTTTTTTCCATGCCCGTGTTGAGTGCTTCTGCTGCATCAGTTCATTTATTCTGTATAGTTATTCACATATATTTACATTATCAAATCAAAATCAACTCACTTTTATTGTCACATCATCAGCAGCACGTGTGCTATGATCAGTGAAAAGCTTAGGTGCTGGCTCCAGACAGTACAAAATTTTGATAGTGCAAAATACAACAGCATACTCCCAAAAAAACAGGACAATGTAAGATTGACAGTGATATGTACAATGAATAGGTGTACACATAGTTGTAGGCAATATTGTTTTAAGTATGGATTGGTTAAAGTGCAGTGCATGCTACATATTGATGGTGTGCAATGAACACACTTTTTCTTTACACTTTGGGGAGTTGCCTGTGTAAATATGCATGTTCTCCCACTGTCCGAGTGGGTTTCCCCCGGGTTCTCTACATTATAGACACAAAAAGCCCAAATCTTTTTCTAAATGTGTTATTCTCAGGAAGTTCACCTTAGCCTCAGCAGCGGGGT